ATGGCATGAGGTGGGCCCTGGGGGTTATGTGTGTCAGATTTGGTCCTTGTCCGTCATTTATGCTGGTCTCAGTGGTCTCACGAAATGAGTGAAGGTACTGCAAGTCCCATAATCCATGGTGCACCCTCCTCAAAACATCACCCGGATGTAAAGTGGGTCACGTGGGCTCTATGTGCCAAGTTTGGTCCTGATCCATCAATGGTGGGGGTTGCCATTGTCTTTGGGAGTTAAAGCATTGGAAAGTACTGCAAATCCCATCATCCATGGTCCTTTCCCCCCCAAATTGCATCAGCACATAAAATGGATCATGGGGGTTATGTGTACCAAGATTGGTAGGTTGCAGTGGCTTGTGGAAGTGGAATACACATACCCACAAACATACAAACGTACATACAAACACTGACTTTTACTTTAGATAGATAGATAGATAGATAGATAGATAGATAGATAGATAGATAGATAGATAGATAGATAGAGATAGATGACCACATGGGCCATCTAATCCAATCCTCTGCCATGCAGACAAAGCACAATCAAAGCACCCCCAACAGATGGCCATCCTGTCTCTATTTAAACTGGGTTCAAATGGCACAACTACCTGGGAGATTTAGCAAGTCACGGTTTCTCTAAGGACATTGTGTCCTCAATGGGGAGACATACTGTTGTACACCAGAGCAGGAACACCTCTGACCTTAAACACCACACCAACTTGGTAAAATCAGCAAGCAGTTTATTGAAGAATATAAGAAGGCAAAGCAGGAAAAATAATAGCAAAAACAGTAAAGTTCCAATATATAAAATAATCCATAAGCTTCAAGGGAAAACAAATCCATGAGTATGGATGGAATGTGTCCAGAGGAGGGTGACTACAATGATCAAGGGTCTGGAGAACAAGCCCTATGAAGAGCGGCTGAAAGAGCTGGGCATGTTTAGCCTGAAGAAGAGAAGGCTGAGAGGAGATATGATAGCCATGTATAAATATGTGAGAGGAAGCCACAGGGAGGAGGGAGCAAGCTTGTTTTCTGCTTCCTTGGAGACTAGGACGCGGAACAATGGCTTCAAACTACAAGAGAGGAGATTCCATCTGAACATGAGGAAGAACTTCCTGACTGTGAGAGCCGTTCAGCAGTGGAACTCTCTGCCCCAGGGTGTGTGGAGGCTCCTTCTTTGGAAGCTTTTAAACAGAGGCTGGATGGCCATCTGTCAGGGGTGCTTTGAATGCAATTTCCTGCTTCTTGGCAGGTGGTTGGACTGGATGTCCCGTGAGGTCTCTTCCAATTCTAGGATTCTATGAGTACATAAAAATCCATACAACTAGGCACTTGAATCCATGAAAAAAAGACAGCAGGAAAATCTCATAGACAAATCTTAAGCTTGGCAAAACTTGGTACATGAAACTAAGAGCACTTGAAAGTGAGACCGTGATATAATAACAACGTTGACCCGACTGAGGCAACTCTCTCCCGTGAATCATTATAAAGCTTTTTCAGATACCAAAACGGAAAGAAAAGCATTCCTCTTGACCTTCCCACCAGGTAAAGTTTTGTAGACGAACTGATCCTATCAGTCTCTGAAAATGTTGTCTCTGTTTACCAAAACTTTGCTTTCTGTCCAAGCTTTAATTCTCTTCTCTCTCATTAACTCCTGCACCTGACAAATCAACTTCAGACAGTTGTAATGAGAAAAGCTATGGAGGACCTCTCCCAAGAATGTGGCCTTGTGACTCTTCCAGAGACCGCATGGGCCTCTCGTCTGAGCTTAACTCAGGCCCAAGCTAAACCCTCATCCCCAATGCCAACAGACTCAGGCCCACCATCAGGAACATCATCTCTATTCCCATCATGAACATCAAATGGGATTTTGGCCTGCATCAATAGGAGCATAGTGTCTAGATCGAGGGAAGTAATGCTACCCCTTTATTCTGTTTTGGTTAGACCACATCTGGAATATTGTGTCCAATTCTGGGCACCACAATTCAAGAGAGATATTGACAAGCTGGAATGTGTCCAGAGGAGGGCGACTAAAATGATAAAAGGTCTGGAGAACAAGCCCTATGAGGAGCGGCTTAAGGAGCTGGGCATGTTTAGCCTGAAGAAGAGAAGGCTAAGAGGGGATATGATAGCCATGTATAAATATGTGAGAGGAAGCCACAGGGAGGAGGGAGCAAGCTTGTTTTCTGCTTCCCTGGAGACTAGGACGCGGAACAATGGCTTCAAACTACAAGAGAGGAGATTCCATCTGAACATGAGGAAGAACTTCCTGACTGTGAGAGCCGTTCAGCAGTGGAACTCTCTGCCCTGGAGTGTGGTGGAGGCTCCTTCTTTGGAAGCTTTTAAACAGAGGCTGGATGGCCATCTGTCAGGGGTGCTTTGAATGCAATTTTCCTGCTTCTTGGCAGTATGGGGTTGGACTGGATGGCCCATGAGGTCTCCTCCAACTCTTTGATTCTATGAACATAAGGCACAATCACAGGCTGAACAGGCCGACATACAACACATGGGGAGGAGCCAAGTGTGGTTTACTTGTGTGTTTGTTTGTTTGTTTATCTGTTTGTTTGTTGGCCCGTGAGTCCATTAAAGAGTCTTTTGGGCAGAAATATTAGACAGCCAAAGTCACCTGGGTATCCTTGGGCAAACTGAAAAGTTCAGCTTTGTAGGGTTGTGTTCTGCCATTGTGGTTTTTCCTAGAAGCCTTCCTTCTCCACGTTGGATGGTAACAAAGGGGTTGGGTTGATCTGAATTTTGTGCCTGGCAGGGTCTGATTAAAGAGCGGAGGACAAGAGAGTTGCAAGCTCTTGATGAGCAAATTTAATTGTGGGCGCGGAGGCCTCTTGTTCTCCTGAAGTGGAGGAAAATTGAAGGTGGAGGGGGACTCGGAGACAATGGTTGGAAAGGAGCCGAGGCTCTTCAGCCCTGGATAATGAGGCCTGCAGCTGGGCTTCTGCTTTGCATTGAATGGGAGCCTGCAATCAGACTCCTGGGACTCCTTTGCAGCATCATTCACCTGTCCAGTGAATGAGAAAGGGTTAATTTCTGTTCAGGAGACCCTGGAACTTCATAGCTAGGAAAAGACCTCAAAGGACATCCAGCCCAACCCCCTTCTGCCATGCAGGAAAACACAGTCAAAGCACCCTTGAACAGCTCTTACTGTCAGGAAATGCTTCCTAATATGTTGTCGAAGGCTTTTATGGCTGGAATCACTGGGTTGCTGTGAGTTTTCCGGGCTGTATGGCTATGTTCCAGAAGCATTCTCCTGACGTCTCACCCACATCTGTGGCAGGCATCCTCAGAGGTTGAGGTGTCTGTTGGAAACTAGACAAGTGGAGTTTATATATTTGTGGGATCAGAGGCAGCCATAGGTAATTTTCAACGGTAAGCAAACAGTATTTTGCCCCCCCCCCCCCCCAACCAATCATTGATATATATTTTCTGTTCGTTGTGGGAGTTCTGTGTGCAATATTTGGTTCAGTTCCATCATTGGTGGAGTTCAGAATGCTCTTTGATTGTAGGTGAACTATACATCCCAGTAACTACAACTCGCATATGTCAAGGTCTATTTTCCCCCAAGTGCACCTCAAGAGCACCCCTGGGCAAAATCAACTATACTGCAAATGCTTACTTTGCGTAATGGGTTGAGCCGCCCCTGTGTGGGATAATGTCCTGGGTGGGAGAAAGAATTCTTGTCTGCTTGAGGCAGGGGTGAATATTGCAATTGGCCAGTTTGATTAGCATTTAATAGCCTTGTAGCTTCAAAGCCCGGCTGGTTGCTGCCTGGCTGGATCCTTTGTTGAGAAGTGTTAGCTGGCTTTGATTTATTCTTGTCTGGAATTCCCCTGTTTTTTTAGTGTTATTCTTTATTTGCTGTCCTGATTTTAGAGGGGTTTTTTAAAGACTGGCAGCCAGATTTTGTTCATTTTCATGGTTTGCTCCTTTTTTGATGAAATTGTCCACATGCTTGTTGATTTCAGTGGCTTCTCTGTATAGAGTGACATGGCGACCAATTGCACCATTCACACTTACCTCAAGAAGACAAGAGTTGTTTCTCCCACCCTGGACATTATTCCACAGATATATAAACCCCATTTTTCTATTTCCAACAGACCCCACAACCTCTGAGGATGCCTGCCATAGATGTGGGCGAAACGTCAGGAGAGAATGCTTCTGGAACATGGCCATACAGCCTGGAGAACTCTCAGCAACCCAATTCTTCCTATTGTTTAAATGGAATCTCTTTTCTTGGCATTTGAATCCATGACTCCATTGTATCCTAGTATATGGAGCAGCAGAAAACAGCTTTGCCTTGACACCCTTTCAAAAACCGAAACATGGCCATTGCATCCCATTTTAACCTCCTGTTCTCCAGGCTATGCAGACCTAGTCTCGTAAGCTAGAGGGATTAATAGTTTCCAAATATTTGACCATTTTGGTTGCCTTTCTCCGGATGCTTTCCATCTTGCTAACATCTCAGGCAGAGGCAAACGTGGGTCTTTGATGTGTTTTGGACTTCAACTCCCACAATTCCTAACAGCCTCAGGCCCTTTTCCTTCCCCCCTCAGCCGCTTAAGCGCTTAAGCGGCTGAGGGGGGAAGGAAAAGGGCCTGAGGCTGTTAGGAATTGTGGGAGTTGAAGTCCAAAACACATTGAGGATATCCAAGTTTGCCCATGCATGCTGTAGAATTAATGTCGTTTGGCACTACTTTGCCATAGCTCAGTGCTATGGAACTATGGGAGTTGTGGATTCACAAAGCCCTTCGCCTTTTCTGCCAAAGAGTGCTGGTGCCTCACTCATCTACAACTCCCAGGAAGACATAGCATTCAGCCATGGCAATTAAAGCAGTGTCAGGTGTTAATTCTACAGCATAGATGCATCCTAGGTCATAGAAGTAGGGAATTCGAAGGGACCCCAAGGCTGGGAATACAGAGTGGAATTTTCTCTCTCTCTCCAGGCATCCTATCCTTTCTTCTCCACCTCTTCTAATCCATTTTGGCTTTGTCTTCCAGGTGTGGGCACCAGGGATTACTACCGGAAGATAGGCTATGAGCTGGAAGGACCATACATGGTGAAGCGATTGGACTGACATGGGACTCTGGAGCAGAGATGGAGAAGATACCAACACTGTGGACCCACAAAAGCTTTTGTTTTGAATGTGGAAGAGTGGAAAGGTGTAGGTCAATCCAAATTGGTCAACACCAAGGGATTTTCTTTCCAGCAGATGAGTCCCAGCATCGTCCTTGGATCTCCTTTGACTTCCCTGCCCTTTGGAAACCAACGAGAGCCCCAAAAGTATGCCCCTACTGTGTCAGGGCTACAATTCCCCATCATCCCCAGCCAGTGGTCAGGGTTGGATTGGATACTCTATTCCCCCCCCCCCCCGATGTGTTGAGACACATCTCTCACCACTGACCAGGGATGATGAGTTGTAATCCAACACGATGGAGTGGCGAAGTTAGGAAACTGATCTTTCAATGTGCCAATGAGAGAAGCTCATTTCCTAGCTTAGCTTCCATTATCCACACCACTGCCTGCAGTTTGGCCGAAGCTTTTCTCCTCTCTACATCTCCCATTACTGCCTGCAGTTTGGCCCATTTTCTATCAGGTTTGCCAAGTTCTACTTGGGATAACCAGTTGTTTTTAATTCCCCATCTTAGATCAGGCATGGGCAAACTTGGGCCATCCAGGTATGTTGGACTTCCCCATCTTTGATTTGCAACCTTCATGAGGACTAGAACCTTTTCTCTTGAAATCTTTTGACATCTTGAGCTTGAGAGGACATTGGGCTTTTGTCTTCCACCCCAATTGGGTCTCATTGACGTTCTTTCCCCCGTTCTTTTACTTCCAACGCCTTCTGTGTCATTTGACCAGAATATCCACTCCGTGCTTGTTTGGGCTGTGAGCTCTCCAAGGTGCTGAGCCGTGACATCAAAGGAGCTTCATCACCTTGGACAGTATTTTCAAACAGATTTCAGAGCCAGGGATGAAGTAACTTGTTTAACTGACATGGGAGTCGATCTCAACCCCTAATCCCATCATCCCCAGCCTTAAGCTGGAAGGAATCCTCATACACAGAAGTGAATACTGGGTTCTACAGTTGTTGTTTTTTGCAACACCTGAATTGCTTCTGTAATAATCCCTCTGGCATTGAAATGATGCAAACCACAGCCACTTCTCCCCAAAACAAGCAGGCATTTTTGAAGAAGGATGTTTCCAAATTGTTTGCCAAGAGTTTCCTCCCATACTTTCCCTTTTCCTTTTGCAGTAGTCCTAAATCAAGACGCTGGGGACTTCCCTGATTTATTTCTAGGCTTTTATGGTTTGCACACTTTGCCGGGGTGTCGTATCTTACCATGGTTGGAGCTTTTTCTGTACTTAATGGCAAAGGATTTCTAGTTTTCAGACCAAGACGAGACCTAGGAGAAAGGAAGAATATGGACACCTTTTCAAACCTGACTTCCCTTCTGCAAAGCAAACCTGTTCTTAGAAAGCGATGCCAATAAAACATGGTTTTCCCAGTGATGTTTATTATATTCGTTCATCATAGCAGTGGGCAGCTGTTTGGGGCACAGACTGCCCAAAACATCCTTCCCCATCGAAGCCAACTTTCAGATGTGAAAAAGAAGTTTTTAAAAAATTTAAGCAGGTGCAGAGAGGCCATGGGTACATTTACATTGTGGAATTAATGCAGTTTGATACAACTTTAACTGCCATGACTCAATGCTGTGGAACCCAGGGAGTTCTAGTTCTCCAACCTCTTTAGCCTTCTCTACCAAAGAGAGCTGTGCTTCACCAAATTTATTTATTTATTTACGCCATTTATATGCCGCCCTTCTCACCCCAAAGGGGACTCAGAGTGGCTTACGAGTAAAAAGTAAATACAATATATTATTATTATTATTATTATTATTATTATTATTATTTTCATCATAGCACAATATTAATATTATATATTACATTGTACAATAGCATTATACTGTAATATTATTAGTAATATTACATTTAATATAAAATATATAATTATAATATCATTTTATTATTAGTAGTAGTATATTGTATTACATTATAATATTATCAATATTGTATGTATATACATTATTATATTATATTATATTATATTATATTATATTATATTATATTATATTAAGCACAGTGCAAGAGACAAGATGGAACTGCCTTCATGGCCTCTCTCTTCACTCTGATCTCATAAGACTCCCATGATCCGAGGTATGGCAGTTAAAGTGGTGCATTCAATCCGTAGTGTAGATCAGGCATGGGCAAACTTGGGCCCTCCAGGCGTGTTGGACTTCAACTCCCACAATTCCTAACAGCCTCAGGACCCTTCCTTTTCCCTTTCCTTTTCTGCTTAAGCGACTGAGCAGGGAAAGGAAAGGGACTGAGGCTGTTAGGAAGTGTGGAAGTTGAAGTCCAAAACAATTAGAGGGCCCAAGTTTGCCCACACCTGGTATAGATGTACCATCATCATCATCTTGCAAAAGCCCTCTGCCTCCTGGTTTTCTGGGGAGGTAAAGTCTGTTGACATCACTACGCAGGTGTCATGAGGAGTGGACTGTCATCAGTTTTCTTGTTTTTCTGTCCAGATCATCCAGCTCTGCTTGTGTCCAGTTCACAATCCCAGCAGTGTATCTAATGACGGGGATGGCTCAGGTGTTGATAGCCTTGATCCTATTTCCGCCATTTAATTTGCTCTTCAAAACCTTTCTGACTCTTTGGATATATTCTTTGCTGAGCACATTTTTCACATGCCCATGCTTGATATTGTCCAACTATAATATGTCCAGATATTTATAGGCTTCAGGCTGATTGCATTTTATGGTTTGTCCCTTTGGCATCTCTATGCCCTCGCTGGGTGTAATTCTCCCTTTCTTTAATGCCACTGCGGCACATTTGTCTAGGCCGAACTCCATACTGATGCCAGTGCTGAAGATTCTGACTATGTTGGTCAGTGATTGAATTTCAGTTTCAGATTTTCCATAAAGCTTTAGATCATCCATGTACAGCAAGTGGGAAATTTTTGGTGAATTTCTTGCTGTTTGGTAGCCTAGGTTTGTTTTCTGTAGAATTACTGATAGTGGGATCATTACAATGATAAGCAGCAATGGTGACGAATCAGTCCCCCTGGAAAATTCCTCCCTAGATTTTAACAGTTACAGATCTTTCGTTGCCCACAAACAACTCAGTTTTCCATTGTTTCATTGCATTTTCAGTGAACTTTCCAATATTTTCACAAACCCCGATGACATCTAGACATTTGATAATCCAACAATGTGGCAGTGAGTCAAATGCTTTTTTGTAATCAATCCAAGTTGTATAGAGGTTTGTTTTGCAGCTTTTGCAATTCTCCAGTATTGTGATCCAATACAACAGCCAGCAGAGTGATCTTGTCTGCTGTGGACTCACCTTGTTGTGTTTCAAATAATAATAATCTTTATTTATACCCCGCCAGCATCTCCCCAAAGGGGACTCGGGGCAGCTCACATGAGGCCAAGCCCAAAAATGCAGTACAGCAAAATAAAATACAAAACAATAAGAAAATACATCACAATAAAATGCATAACGAACCAGATAAAATTAACAATGCAAAATAACATAATAGAAAGTCAAATACAATGAGTGGGCCAAATGCACAAGGTAAAATGATATAACCCTGGATGAGATAGGTGTGTGTGTGGGGGGGGGGGGTAGTTTATTTGTGAGAGAGTGTATTTATGAGGGAGGACTCCAAAAAGACAATCAGTGGATTTGCTGGTACGGCTGTACCAGGAGCTCCAACTTTATTTGCTTTGTATTAAATGTTTGCTTGCAGTCCAAGGTTTCAAGGAGTCTGCAGAAAGGTGGCTTCCTCTGGTTGCAGTCGTAGGGCAAGTCACCTCTCCATCATCGTTAAGTTTTGGTTCCGCCCCTTGCTCAGGGCAATTGGGAAGGGAAGGGAAACATTTTTAGTCAGTCTCAGTAAGGAAAGGTAATGTAGAGGACATGTACAAGCTTTTCCTGTACAAAAGCTTCAACCCTTAAGACTTTCCGGGGGAGAACAGTCTTAAGAGCACCCAAAGATCTCCAAAGGACAAGAGGGATCCTCTCACCTCTGCAGGAGTCTACCATATACCATGCAGCTGTGGACAAGTCTACATAGGGACCACCAAACGCAGCTGCCCAGACACGCATCAAGGAACATGAAAGGCACTGCAGACTACTTCAACTAGAGAAGTCAGCCATAGCAGAGCACCTGATGAACCAGCCTGGACACAGCATATTATTTGAGAACACAGAAATGCTGGACCACACCAACAACCACCATGTCAGACTACACAGAGAAGCCATTGAAATCCACAAGCATTTGGACAATTTCAACAGAAAGGAGGAAACCATGAAAATGAACAAAATCTGGCTACCAGTATTAAAAACCTCTAAAATTACAACAGTAAAACAACAGAGAGGAAACAACCAGGCACATCTTAACACCTCTCAACCAAAGATTCCCCCAGGCTCAGCCAGGCCTTCAAATGCTAATGAAGGTGATCAGCTGAAACATTCACACCTAACTACAGCAGAGAAAAGCTCTTTGCCCCACCCCAGCCATTCCACAGATATATAAACCCATTGTCCTAATTCCAACAGACCTCACACCTCTGAGGATGCTTGCCATAGATGCAGGCGAAACGTCAGGAGAAATGACTCTAGAACATGGCTCTATAGCCCGAAAAAACCCACAAGAACCTAGTGATTCCAGCCATGAAAGCCTTTGACAATACGATCTCCAAAGACTTCCAGGGAAACAGCCCTAAAGCTTTGAGGAATTTCGGAGGGTAAACAGTTTGGAAGACCAAAGAACTCCAGCTGGAGAATCTACTGGCCTTACTGGTAGGTCCACTCGGTGCTCGAGACGCAGTTCGACCGTAGCGGAGCCCACATCAGTAAGACTTAGATTACAGTCAGCCTGGGAGAAGTTAAAAGGGTTTTTCCTGCAGAGAAAGTTTAGTTAATCAGGGTCGGGTGCCAGTCCATTGAGGACTAGACTGAGAAGGCCTTGAGGTGTTGTTTGAACCATCGAGGATTTGTTGTTTGTTTCATAATGAAGACTTTGTTGCATTATCAAAGACTCTAAAGACCATCACTTCTGGAAAATCCCTGACAATTTCTCTTTGGGGGCCCCTGGCTTCCTGCTGGGTAAAGGTTGCACGTCCTATTTTAAAGGAAATTCTTTACAGGCCCAGCACGCAACAGAACAGTGGGGTTGGGCCTTCATTAAGAGCTGCCGTGCACCATAGAAACCACTGTTCAACATTGTCTGCATTTTTGCATATTGCATCTTTTGGTCTGAATGCCACCCAATAATATTATCCCCCAAATGTGCATTTTTAAAAGTC